TGCCGCCCTGACCGCCCCCCGTCGCAACGCCCGGCGGAATAAATCCGATCGACCACCTCTTGTCCACTCCCAGCTCTTCTTTTAACCGATTTGTGTGTTCCATCGGGCGAGAGGCAACGGCCGAGCCACCCGCCGCAGCCTGCTGCACCCGGTGCTACCGTACGTTCTGGGCTGGTTCCGTCGCCGCCGACTTGTGGTGCTGCCGCCCTCGCACAGCCAACTACTCCGGGGGCCCGTGCTGACGCCGAAGGCAGCGTGCATCTCCCTGCCGACCATAGCCGCCGGCGATCCCTAAGCCTGCTCGGGTGCGATCGCGCCGCGGCTCTATAGGGGTCGGGGTGGGTGGATGCAACGGTCTCCTCCTCCTCCTCCTCCGAGACATTCTTGTTTCGGCGGTTTTCTATCCATGCTGCTAGTACCAGCAGACACCCCGGCCCCGACATCGACGGCATGCCATGCCCGGACGCGTGCCCAACCTGTGAACTGTTGTTGTTGCGCCTTGCCGTGGACAACGTGCCTCGGAGTGTGATTGATCGTGCCAACTATCTTCTGAACCTGTCGTCGGCGCCGGGGGGGGCGGGGGGGGGGTCGAAGGGAATTGGTTGAATTTGTGTTGAGCGTTCTTGGGTGTGAGAAAACAAACCTGCGAAAAACGAAGTAAGCAATCGCATCTTAATGGATCCATCGTCAAGCCACGAAGTGCCTGGGCTCTCTCGGGTACCCGCAGAGATGGAGCTTGCCGTTTGTGCGTGGTTCTTGGGAAGAAAGCCCTCTCTCGTCTCCTTCCATCTTGAACCACTAGTTTAGGCACAAGGGCGTCGTGTTGCAGCCAAGGAAGATAAATACCCGGCCGTTTGGCGTTTGGTGTGGTCAAGCTATTACATAAGCAGCACTTGTTACAGCCCTCCCGAGCAACCTCCCACGAGAGCGATCGCAAGGGAAAGATATAGTCAACACATTACCGCCGAATTGGATCTACCGCTGTACAACGCATGTGCGTCGCGAAGGGAAAAACGCACACTTTTCAGTTCGCTTGAAGTTCGTGTAAGAAAATGCGTCGAACTGCGGAAGGTACCGCAGTACGTAAGGTACATTGCTGAACTGCTGTTGCCTGTTCGCGGTCTGTGCGCAGACTTGCAGACTTGACTGGTATTCTGCTGCTGGATAATCCCCTATTTGGAATGTCGACGAAGGAGACTGTCGCATATGGAGTTCTAGATACGACTGCTGTGCTGTTCGCGACGTTGAGTTGTGGAAGCGAACCTGCCCTGGTTGCATATCTACCAGGGTGCGGTACAACCTGTTAAAAATACGGCCAACGAGCTGCCTGGATTTCGGAATTTCCATTCAACTATATACCGTCATGATCTGATATGTACCACCGCTCAGAGCAGGCATACATGAATGCTGTATACCACGAGTTGGTCTCCTGCAGGTCTCCAACCACGCCTCTCTATCCCCCTTGCTCTCTTGCCAGATAGATCTATGTGCTGCTCGCGTTATTGCTGTTTTGCAGCTGTGCTGTGCTGTAAAACAACCCGATGTTTGGTGCACAGGCAGAGGGAAGTAATTAATGACGCAGCACCTATAGCGACTGCAGAAATCATGCTCACCTCAATAGTTTTTCCTGCAGTCTGGTCCGGTGGGTCTGGCAGCTAAAGAGAGATGAGAGAGAGAGAGAGAGAGTGGTCACCCAAGCCAAGCTGCAGAAATGGTGTGCTACAACATCATGTGTGTGCGCCCCCAACTACCGTGTGGGGGGCACGCAGAGAATTTCGTCATATTGTGTGTAGAGCAACAATTTCCCGTCATCGACACCCCCTGCGATCAGTTCAAAAAGGTACCAAACAAGAGAGCAGGCAACGCATAAGACGAGAGCATGCCCACGGCCACTCTTCCCTCCCGGCTGCGCCTCTCGACTTGCCTGCCTGCCATTGCTGTGGCACAACTGTTCCTGAGACCCGGGGTGAACGGCCTGGCCTTAAACTTTCCTGCTGCGTGTTCGTCCGGAGCTCGATCTTCTACGGCTTCGGCGACCGGACCTCTGATGGCCTCGTCATCGTCTGCTGCTGCTGCTGCTGGCCAGGACGCGATGCCCTTTCCGACTGGAAGCAAGCCCGTCAAGGAGATGGACAGCCCTCGGCCGAAGCTCTGGATCTACGACCATTGCCCTTATTGTGTTCGGCCACGGTGAGGGTAGCATTTTGAACAATAACGAACAAACGAACGTACGCATAGCAGAAGGAAGTTAGCACACCAGTTGAACACATGAAACAGCGGCACGAAGAGATTATGCGTGCCCGGCTGACTGCTGTTGTAGGTTTCATGCATCGTCCTGGCCCAACATAGCAGGGCCTCCTAGCACTTGATCAATAGTCGCGGTGCCCCCCAGCGAAGGACAACTCCTATGCTGTCCCCGAACAACAGAGTAGGGAGTGGGGATTGGAAAAAGGCTGAGTCCCCGCAGAAGCTTCGAGTAGGTTCCGAACTCGCAATATGTATGTATCTACATATCAAATCCTGGATATGCAATGTGATGAATGAAGGAATATCACAGCACTGCCGGCGACGATAGCAGAGAATCGATATACCGTAGGTTGCATAAGATATCACACCCCCTGGACCGACTTTTCAAAACTTGAGTACAACGGCAGGAAAAACAGTCACTCTGCCGGAAACGGCGACGTCGGAACTGTCTCGTCGAGAGCTTCCGAAAATGTTGTACTAAATGCATAGGAGTATCATTTTATTTCAGCATCTTCGTCGTGGAGTAGCTGAGCTTTGAAAATCGGTCCAGGGTGTGGTATCTTGTACAACCTACGGTAAGCGAAAGTACGGACATACGAGAACATGTTCGGCTTGTCAAGCCTTCTCTTACATAGTAGACGGCACTGCTGTGGAAGGGCCTGGGAAAAGCTGCCCACAATCTCTTTCGGACGAAACTAGCCGCTCACTCCCCTCCGTGTGCGTGTCCTGTTGAACAAGCGAGGGAGCACGGCGCACACACCAGTAAACAGGCACAGAGTAGTCAACCCTTGTCCAGAAAAGGCTAACTTCCGTATCGGATCGGTTGCATCAACCGACATGACGTCGAGGGTCGGGAACTTGGCCGCAGCACTACACCCGCGTTTGTTGTGCGCTGCTTTGAGCTTGAGTCCTCCCCAACCCCGACCCCGGCTTCAACTCCCTACGAGGATAGACGTTGACTGCCCACGTTCGCTCCCCGCCTTGCCGTCCAATCGCACGCAATTTAGCATGGTTTTCGGGCTCAAAGGGATCACGCACGACCTGGCGTACCTCTCGAACGACGACATCGAGACGCCAACCGCCATGGTCGGCAAGAAAATGGTCCCGATTCTCGAGCTCGGCCGCCCTGGGTCCGAGGATCACGAGGTGCGTTGTGTTGTTGTTGTTGTTGTTGTTGTTGTTGTTGTTGTTGTTATTGTTGCTGCTGTTGTGGTTTGTCTTCAATGTGTGAAAACAATCCAGACCTTCTGTATTGACACCTCTTGGCAGTTTATTTCTGTGTTCAGGTGCGAGGAGACCGTGTTCTAGAGGGTGTCAGGTCGGATAGGGTTGGGAAGGGTATAGCAGTGCTCGCGTCGTTGTTTTTTTACGCCATCCCCTGTTTACTGTATTCCTTGGCCCTTTTTTGCCTCTTTCGTATCTGATCGTCACACGGATATACACCCATTCATGCATAATACTCCAGTTATCTGCTTGTTGTCTTTTGTATGCATGGGAGGTTTGATCTATAGTCTAACCATCTCGTGTTATTTCATCAGTTGCTACCAGCGCGGGGGGGACTTTTTTCGTCTTGTCTTACATCGGGTCGCTTTTACACGTGTGGCCTTGCCTCCTTTCGCGGAACGTGCCTACCATTACCAGATCATGGCCGAGAGCATGGACATCGTCAAGAGGCTGGACTTGGACCCCCAGTTCGGGCCTCCCGTGCTAGCCCCCGCCGTCGACCGCAAAGACCTGGACGGTTGGGTTTCCTCCGCAGCCATGCTGATGCGGCGCCTCGTTCGTCCGAGGAACGCCGTCACGCCTCTCGCGGAGTTCCAGGTGATAACTCGTGTACCTTCATGGGACGTTTGTTGCTGATGGTATTCTTTGTCTTGCCTTGAATTTTTTTAGGGGGGGGCTCGGTTTTGCCGTGGTTGTAGCAGTCTGGTTCGGTTGTTGGTCGATAGCTGTTGCTCGACATACATACGGAAAGCCGCACTTCGTGAACTTACCACCACTTTCAAGGCTGCATGGCTTTGCCATGACAGGCGTTCTTTTTTCACTTGGGGGAGAGGGCAATGCATTAAGCGTACACAGACAGATGAGCGGGACTGTGCGTAGCTGCCAAACACCTCCGGCGCGACGCAGCGGGAGGTTGTCTTGTGCGGGGTTACACTACATAACTCAGATGGATGGCAGGCGTGCAGGTAGCAACGAGCCAACCGTAACTCCATCCCCCATTGCCCTGAGTTATCGCGCCGGTGTATGCCAACCATGTTTACAACAACACCCGGCGCGCGCTGCTTACTCCCTGCAGACCCGATCGGCGAGAGAGGCGTTTGTCCGCAACCATCCATTGCCGGAACCGAGCAGCTACGAGGCCAACCTCAAGGCGTCGCCAAAGCTGGTAAGTTTTGTAGTAAGCCTTATCGTCATGTTTGCATTGTCGTCGTGTGTTTTGTTCTCCCCGGCATCAGTCCGCCGTGCGATAACCCTGGCCGTCTCTACGCTCTAAGGCGATGCTGGTGGTTCTTTTTGACAAAGCGAATTTGCCGGTTTTAACCGCGAGAAGATTATTGCAGAATGCCCTACCGAAGTCAACGCGCCGCCTCCACGGTCAAGCAAGTGTCTTCCTTGTCTCCGCCTGCTCAAAGCGGCGGTGCACAATCTCAGGTGGTGGGAAGACACACGGGCTTGGCGTTGGGGGGAAGGGTGTGTGTGTGTTTCTGCGGTTTGCCTTGGTTATTTTTATCTGGGACCGCATCCCTTTAGGGACGGAGGATCGCTACCACTCCTTTTGCGGGGAGACAACCAACGCTCCGATGTATACCTCTGCTCTGCCGTACTTGCTAGTGAGGGGGTTGTGCTCCTTTGCCCTGTAATTCTTCGTCATATGGGGTGTGTATGCCTCATTTGCTCCTGAATTCTTCGTCATTGGTGGCCACTAAGAAAGCATGGGGGGCGAGGGCTGTACGAGTCTCGCTCGAGCGCGCCGCTTCTTCTCGCGTCTAGGAAGACGACACAAAGAACATGCTTCTTGGAAATGGGCCACACCCCACAATATCTGTGCCACAGCAGTACACGATGATGGTGGCAGGAGTACACCCAGCAACCTTATCCTCGTCGAACGCGCTCGTTTGCTTGTCCTTGCTTGAATGCTGACACCCGCCCCCGAACCGAACCGGCAGATCGAGGAGCTGGAACGCGAGCTGTGGAAGCTTGAGGGCATGATCCACAGCCCCACCAGTGTGGCGGCGGACGGGAAGCTGTCGTACAACGACGTAGAGTTTTTCCCGCGCATGCGTGGCCTCACGATCGTGCAAGGCTTGGGCATCCCACCGAAGCTGCGAGCGTACCTCGACGCCGTCTCGGAGCGCGTGGACGTACCGCTGTAAGTGTTTTTTTGTTTGTTTTTGTCGTCTTCATTTTTTTTGTATTCCCTTGCTCGGATCTCTCGCACCCGCTTGAGGGTTGGATTTTTTTTTCTTTTGCCTCCTTTTTCGATGCTTTTCCCTTGTGCTTGATTTTTTCCCCTTGCTCGCTCGGATATTTCACATCATCTTGAAGGTTGAGTTTTGTTCTGATCTGCGTACATTTCGATGGATTTTTTCTCATTGTCCTTGATTGAGATCCGTTCCCCCCTTCAACTCCTTCAACTCTCTAAATGCTTGTTCGGGTATCGGTGTTCCTCCCTGTTGTCTGTTTCCTCTCTCTTTAATTTTTTCGTGTCCTCTTTTTTCGTTGATGGCTGGAAACGACTGTTGCATAAGCAGCCATTTTTTTCCTTTCGAGCGCGGCAATGCAGAAGCCTCACAGCACTAGCTAGTCTCATACGTTAGCCTCGTGCTGACATTACCAAGGCGTGGGTATGCGCCGGTGAGAGCACTTGTGTTGCATGAGTCATTAAATGTTAGCAGCAGCTAAACCTTCCCTTGTTACGCCCCGCGGCATCTACTTTTTTTCCCCTCCCTACTGCAGGTATGACAAGATAGCTTCGTGAAGAAGATGCGGGGCATGAGCACGGCGTTGTGAGAAGTAGTTGGCGTTACGTGGAGGAAGGGCGCTCTCTCGCTCGCTCTGGCGTTTTGTTTGGGCCATAGGCGGCGGCAGGACAACCACAAGACGGCGCGGTAGCTTCACGGCTTCCCGTTTGGTGCTTCTTGTCTTCTCGTGGAGAGAGACCCCGCAAAATGAAGGCTTCGCGACGGGAGGGGGGGGGGGGGGGGGGGGGCCCCCTTTTGGAAAATTTAAACAATTTTCCGGGGGGGGGGGGGGGGGGGCCCCGAAACCCTTCCGGAAAAAAAAAAGGGGGCCCCCCGTTTTTTCCCCTTTTAGGGAAAAAACCCAAACAAAAAACCCCGGCTTTTTTAAAAAGGGGGGGGGGGGG